TTCGCATTGAATTACGAATTCCCTACGAATTCGCAAAACAATGGTAAAATGCGAATTGTTGCATCATTTTTACGCCCAAAAATTGCGATTCGTCAATTCGTCTTTAGACACTTTGTCCACACTAATGAACGGACAGAAAATTGCTCACACAGTAAACGCCAAAACGTTTAGAAAATCAAAAAAAGATGGGTGAATCTGTTGGCACCCCCGAGAGTGTCAATAAGGCGCTATTGGCACTCCTAGGGAGTGTCAAAAGCGCTTTGTTGACACTCCCGGGAGTGTCAATAGCCATTCCAAAAAAAGATTTTGGTATCCAGACATGAAAATCAATGACGCATTTTGTAGAGAATTTGATGCTCTGTCCGATGGTATAGTTACCAGAATTTTCGAAAAATATCAAGATCAGGTCTTAATTTACCTTTAATTCTAGATTAGGTAGATTTAAAAATTTTTAAATTTAAATTATCACTATGAAAATTTCACTTTAATTTGTTCTTCAGTTCACATTCTTAATCAGCGCGAAAAACTGCGTCTAATGATATGTTTCTAACCTTTGTTCGAGTGAAAACAAAAATTCGAACCTTCTGATCTGAAGCATGACCGTTAACTGGCTGAGTACGAACATTAGGTAACAATAGCATATGTATTAACAAGAATTTAAGAATAATTGTGACTATCATGTTAAGAATTTTAATAAAAGTTTTAATAAAAAATTGAATGAATTGAATTTCATTTCAAGGTCATTAGTTTTGTTAACAAATAAAATACAAAATTTGCACTTAACCAGAATGCTCCATATCTCATACCACTTTCTTCTTCTTTCTCCTCTCTTCGTCATAGTGACTACTTAAATAAAAAGACGAATAAAACATTAGATATATATAGTCAGTTATACTGTTTTCTCATTTTTATGTAACATTCTGTACGAAAAGCAACTTGAAAATGGCCATATCAATAGGTCGAAATATCGAATTGTAATTTTAATCGTTGGTTTTAGTTTTAAAATTTTTATTTTTATTATTAAAATTTTTTTTTAAGATGGAGCAGTAGAAATAACTTCTAAAATTAATATTTTTTATTAAAACTTCTATTAAAATTCTTAACATGATAGCCGCAATTATTCTTAAATTCTTATTCCTAAAAATTTTAATCGAAAATCTCACTAGCAAAAGAATTGGGAGGACGTTTTGAATCTTTGCTAGAGTATGGACTAGTTTAACCAAACTTACTTTCTTTTAACAAAATGTGTTAACTTTTTTAATTTCTGTTTTTCATTGTCGCAACGTTGATCTGGTTTCAGATTATTGAGGTAAAACGAATACTCTAGACAGATCTTCTAAGTGAAATAATATTGCTCTATTTGATTTATGATACGTATTGCTGGTGGTTACTCTACACTGAGTTTTACTGAAGACATTGTCTGGCTATTAATTTAACAACAAAAAACATGCAAAATACCTTCGTCTGAGCAAATACATATTTCGGCTAGAGAAGAACAGGCAAAAAAGATCAGCTCTTCATCGCTAGCCGAATAAAAGGAGAGATGCCACAAAAAAACAAATAGTCGATGAAAGAATTTATAAAAAATCTATTATGGATAAAACAATGATAAAATGTTTTTCATGGCATTAATAATACAATAGTGTTGCGAAGATTGTATGTGCGCACTTAAAAACATTGAGATATTATGTGTGTTCGATTAGACTAATTTTTTAAACACTCTTACTCAGAGATTCGATACAGATTTGATATCTTGACTTAAAATATACGCTACCTTTAAAATTATTTCAGATTCATTGCAGCATGGCTTCTAATAACTTTTCGTCAACCGCTTCGAAACAACAATCATGTCGTGACTGGTTCAAGGCAAAATTAGAACATGTTCCTTTCGATTACAGTCAATCAACAACTATGTTCAAGTTCTTAGTCAATGAATCTTCAGTCACATGATAAATCACAAGCTGTATGTAATTACTTCTTGCCATGCGAACGGAAAGAGCACAAATGTCGCGATCGTTTCGAAGAAGATAAACACGCAAGAGCACCACTGTTTTCAGTCATAATTGATGCCTCTGGAACAATTAGACGAACAAATCGGAAGCCATTAATAACAAATCAAGTGATATCAATTACAGAATCAACACCTGAAGCATTTCATGAATCATCATCATCAATAGAGAAACATGTGCTATCAGGAGAAAGTAATACAACCTGCACTACTGAAGATTATTCAGACTCAAATTTTACAGATGACAGTATTTCTTCTATTAATGATAACAATGATTCAACATCAGCTTAAAGTATCATAGAAGCTGTACACATTACGACGGATATAGCCGCGAAGAAATTGTCACAATGCCTACTCCTTGTCGTTATGGTTTAAAATGTTATCGAAAAAATCGGATGTATTTCGAACAATATTCTCACCCAGAAGCGCTTAAACGTCCAAACGAACTTCAGCAACATCGACCGGAAGCCAATCTAGAACATGTAGAAAAATGAAAAAAAATAACTGGACGAATTATGCAATCAATTATTCATTTGAAAAATCGAACCCACTACTTGGAAAATGAAAATGATAAATTATATTCAGACATATTGAAAATGACTGAAAATAGAGAAAGTTTGAAACAAGATTTAAGTCATGAAATAGGTAAACAAGAAAAACTTATATTAGGACACAAACAAATACTTACTATAGAATGTACTACACCATCCTATTGGGGTTTAAACGCTCTATCGAAACACTATTGTGAAATTGCTATACCACAAAATACAAAAGACTTTAGCGTGTTAAATGATCTTTTAAATCTAACAGTTCAGACACATGGTAATAAATTTGGCACAATATGTGAAAAAGATCCAACGGAATTTATTGTTACAAAAATTAGTCGAATCAAAAATGTTAAACCATGGCAAGACTATTGTTTTAAAAAAGTAAGAACAAATGTCGAAAAAGTTTTATCTGTTAGAACCCTGCTAGTCAACAAAGATTTCCATGTGTAAGTTTCTACAGAAGTTGCTCTGACAGATTGAATAATTAGTGTAGTTCATCTAAACTGCAGTTACATGGTTGAATTTAGTTATTGAAATATTTAGTTTCTTTAAGCAGTACGTAATTTCCATCTGGATGAATCCATATGAAGCCTTCCATTATGTACAGAATCGTTGTGGCAGCATGGAAATTATATGCATTAGATTAGAATAAAAAGGGTTGTAAACTTTTAATCTAAACCGGAGCTCTGTAGCGATTACAAGAGCGAAGTAATTAGCAGAGTAGTTTTCCATCAATTTAGAGTTAAGAGTACTATTTTCCAACTATTTTCACCTAACTTAACATGCCTTTCCTGCCTCTCTTTTCGATCAGCAATACAATTTCTGTTATTTGAAAGACTAACTCAGAATCTATGAAATATGTTAAAAAAGCTTGTCAGCGTTACTTCTACAAAGCAAAAATGTGAAAACTTCCTATTCAGCTGTTGGATTATAATATATAACATATAATAATATATCGTAATGTAATAATTTTTAAAACTTGTATCTAACAACATCAGATCAATAAAGCACTGTCTGCTACTAGTACATTCAGTAGCTATAAACACCAAATTCATATTGAACTTTGGTCAATCACAATGTCACCCCGAAAGTTTACAGCTACTAATAAAAAACCCTCTGCAAACCACAAAAATCCTCGTATATAAACTTTATACTTCAAACTCCCTTTTCCTTCCGAAAACGGACAGATCCTAGGAAGTTTTCACAAAAAAGAGTGATTTTTGAGAAAAGGGCCAGAAATCTCCTGGTCAAACTACAACTTGTGTTTAAAAAGTTTGGTTAGTGCATATATATCTGAATGATAGATCACACCCTTCTCTACAAAATGAGACGTCTTCAAACTCTAGGCGATATTTTCTTCGTTTTGTAGAAAAAACGTTCTTTCTGTAGTTGTTTATGAACTGACCTCATTGTTCCGTGAATTTCTTATTAACACTATGGAGTTGACGTCAGTTCACAGAAATATTCGTCCCGGAATTCTGTAAAAATGAGAGATTGTTTTTAAAACAGCAGTTTTTTCGTTTTAAACGTAGAAAACATCATTAATCGAATCGGACTTGAATGAACATCAGCGGATCATCCAGAATCCATAACAGATTGGATCAAAACATTTTAAGAAAAGTACAAATCGGGCTGGATCAGATCAATACCGCCTCAAACTGAATTCGAGAAACATGGCGTTACTCTCTGATCCGATCCCAAGTGACCATGGACTATATTCAACACTCCGAGGAGAGAATTGACAATTTGTCAATTTTTCTAGGCTTTTTCACTCTAAATTGTCTTAGTAGCCTTAGATAATTGCTCCCATCCATGTGCTCAAAATCGGCAGAAACACCGCTGGTTACTGTCCGCTTATCAAATGCGGAAATAGCCGCGGGGCATTTAATGGTATTTTTTCTCAGTATTAATACTCAGAACATAACTCCCAAAATACCGCACTTCATTCTTTTTTGTGCTGTGTTTTTCAAACGCTGAAGCACACACTGGCTGCCCATCTCTGATGACTGGGAGAAAATTTGATGCAAGTCAAAGTTCACACGTCGACGAGTGTAATAACTGAAGAGAGTTAAAAAGGAATCAGTTACTTTCCAAATTTCTTAGTCACTCCATCAACGTCAAAACAGAACGGTGAACGAGAAAAGTTTTCAAAAAAACAATCAGATCAAAAACTGAGTAGATAATATGTATTTCTATCCTATCCGACTACTTTAATTTTAATTTTCATGTTGAAAACTTATCGAGATTTTTAGCAAAAAATGAAAGTTACCTAAAAATTTTGAAATACACACTGATCGACTCAGTTTTTGATTCTGATTCCGAATATGAGGTTTTTTTGAAAAATTTAGTTCGAATGGAGAAAACTGAGAATTACGAGCGCAATTCCGACCTTTTCGCCTTTGATTTAGAAGAAATGAATTTTCTCAGCAATGAAAAGGAACTGGAAAAGAGCGATCCATACTTTTTGCTTGCGCAAAGACGAGTTGAACGCGCCAGACACAATTTCTCACCCTGCATTTTAAAAAAGTTTGTGGCTTTTGAAAATGGAAGAAGGAAAAAATTCTCGATATTTTTCACAACCTAACATGTAAAAATATAAAAATTTTTCTTTCTTCCGTATTTTGAAGATTCTCCTTCAACATCTAAACTTTCTAAACTGAAAACTAGATGTTCTTGATCAGCCTATCGAGCTCTATCGATGTATAATATTGTAGAAACGTGTAATTCGGTGTGCCTTACAAAACCCAGAATATACGTACTGGAATATGTTCTCAATGAGCGCTTTTGGATCATTGGAAAACGGAAAGCATTTTTATAATTCAACAAAAAGCAACACATCTGTCCGTTTTGGAAACAGTAATAAACTATTATCAGTGTTCTCATCCACTGTTAAAGCAGTATTTTACAAAAAGGCAACCGGTTTTGTACTAAATGCAAAACTGAAAGGCGTTTCGTATGATCCCAAATGCAAATACCGTCGAAGATAAACGAATATATCGACAGAATCGTTTATTAAATCAGTTAAATTTTTTTTTTATACAATTTATCTATTAGTACTTTATAGTCGACAATATTTAATTCGTTATTAATTGACAATGATCGATAATCATCTCAAATGTATAGTTGCATTTAAACATAACGTACATAAAGTTCACACTAGACTCGAATAGTTTAACGTCAGATTCATCAATGAAGCTGGTCAAAGACGAAGTTTTCTTGGACCAGATAGAACTTGATGAGCTCTACAAAACGATGTATTTTGTTTTTCTATACAAAGAATGGTTTTTGAGAAATACTTGAAAAACTGTTTTTTTTTAATATGAAAAATCACAGGTTTTTAGTAAACATTTATCAGATTCATTCCAAGGCTTGATCTAATACTAAAACACACATTGTTGAATAGAACTCGTCGAGACACATCTGAGCATGCACTTTGTTAGCCTTCATCTCAACAAAAATATCAGAAAGTTTTTCACAGACTAGTTTTCCTTGTCGTATATGCGAACAAAAGCTTTCTGGATTCATTTCTGAGCTTGATCCAAGCCCGAGACCAGTTTTTGTGGAACTCCCTCACTATCTTCGAAGACGAGTGAGTAACATACCCAAAAATCGCTGATGTTTAAGTTAAATTTGACCTCCTTCCCCTCGTGAGGACACAACCTGTTAGAAAGGTACACACAACCTCTTAAAGTGGTAGTCACAACTTCTTAAAAAGGTTTGGAACGAGTTGCGTTAAATCATCAAAATAGAAATTGAAGCTTTAACC